TTTTTTCCAAATTTTACATCATGATCTGATATTATGCTATAGTGGGAGAGCGACATTTATTTTTTAAATTTATGACCAAATTCAACAAGTTAAAGTGGAGTTGGAATGCAGCCCCTTTGGGCATGGCTCATTAATCTGCACTGGAACCGCCCCAAAGGGGGCAGATAACCCCCACAGCCAGAGTGGACTGAGGAATGTAATTCTTCAGTGTATACATTCCTCAGTCCACTCTGAGCTGAGAAATGTAATTCCAGCCATAGACGTGATTTCTGACTTTGTGGTTGACACAAAGTAAAAAGAAACAGGTGAAATTCATCTTGACAATATATTTTATTTAACCCAAAAGAGCCAAAATATTATCAACATAAAAATCAACATAACTTTTAATGTTTTATTTTCTTTTCCCACTAAACCTTAGAAATCCAATGTGGATTTTACATTTATAGCATATCTCAATTCAGAGTAGCCGTATTTCATATGCTTCATAGCCATATGTGAACAGAGGCTGCCATATCAGAGAGCGCAGGTCTAGACCCTGCTCCAAATTGTAGATTTCCAGAAGAGACTGGTGTTGAAAAAGGGGTGTGTGTGTGTGTGTGTGTGTGTGTGTGTGTGTGTGTAGGCACAAGGGCAAACAAAAGGTGCTTGGAGTATAGAAAAGTTCATGGAGGAAAAAAACATCATGCAAAATAAAAATCAAATGAGTTGAGATTATTTACATGGGTTCCCCAATGACCCCTCTGCCACACACACTACCTTTCATGAAGGAGCAAAGCTTCCTAACCTGGACATAAATATTTGTCCACCTTGCTGCCAAGAGGGAAAAACCCTGTCTTCTCCTGCCATGGGTGCCAGATTGGCCTAACACAACAACCTTCAGTCTGGGGCGTCAATTCTTCTGGAGGTCTGTGAGGACTGTTTGCAGCAACTTGGGCTGTGTTGTCCAAAAAGGTGACCATTAAAGTGAAATGTAATTAAAAATTCAGACACTCAGCACACTAGCCAATTTTCAAGTGCTCAATAGCTGCGTGCACCTTTGCTGTTGGAGGGGCAGCTCTAAGGGAATCTACTCCCCATCTGCAATGCGTGCATGTGCTTTTGCCTAAAACGGTGACCTGAGAAGGGCCTGGTTCCTCTGAGGTTCACAGCTGCCCTGTGCCTGTTCTAACACAGAACACACCTGGCACTGGCCCAGACTTTCTCAGATGTGCACTGGGCCAAACCAGGTCAAGAACACATGGCTACAAGGAAACTCCTCTTATTCCCTCTGTTTACCCAGCACCTGTGTAACTACATACTAACAGCACCCAGGCTCCATTTCTTTGATATAGATTTTCCTCTCTAATTCAAGCAGACTTTACCTAATACAACAGCACTGTAATTCACTTACTTTTTCTACCCTTATCTTTCCACCCTTTTGTGCCTACTCCCTCATTCCAAGACATAGGAAATTATTTTTATAATTTATTTTCTTGGATACCACCAGGAATAAAATCTGTCCTAGGAGGAATTGTAAAATTAGGCTTAACTGTATTAGTTTAATATTAGTTTCTCACAGAATGTTCAAAATAATCATAATAAATTATATAGACAGCCTTTGTGACAGCAGTCTACCGTATTCTCCAGGTGATGGCTCTTGAAAAAACCTGTTTTCCTCTATCAAACTCTTGTCTCTTGCTTACTGGCTCATGGACAGTAACCAGCCAAACCTGCGATCAGTAACAACTGCATCTATAAAAAAAATAAAAAAATCCACAGAGTTGATGTTGAACACTGGCTCACTCCAGTAATAAGTAAAATTCATTCAACAAATTTACATTACTTGACCTGTTAAAAAAATCTATCTCATTAAAAGTTGTGCTTCTGAAACATTCATGTTTTGTGTAACAACTGATAGTAAAATTTTGAAGTATATTTACATTATTTGGCTAATAACTCAGAAAACAATTAACATCCAAGAGTGAGGGAAAAAAAATTGCAACCTCATTTCTTTACAAAGATGTATGCTAAGGTGAACAATAAAACGTAAAGCATAAAACAATTTTACATTAGGATAAAGCCCAGGGATGCACATAGAATGAAATTATTTTTATATTTGGGTTAAAAAAAATCCTATGACAGACATAAAATAAAAATGAAATATAGGTTCAAGAAAAAAAAATTAAAAAGTAAAATGACCATTAAAGTGGGTGGTGAGCATTATCTACAATAGCCAAGACAGGGACACAACCTGTGTCTATGGATGGATGAATGGATAAAGATGTGATTGATAGATAGATAGATAGATAGATAGATAGATAGATAGATAGATAGATAATGGAATGTTACTTAGCTATATAAAAGAAGGCAACCCTGCCATTTGTGATGACATGGATGGACCTTGAGGGCATTACGTTAAGTGAAATAAGTCAGAGAAAGACAAATACTTTATGATTTCAGTTATAGGTAGAATCTTAAACAAAACAAAAAAACCAAGAAAATGGATACAGAAAACAGATTGGTGGTTGGTGGTTGCCAGGAGTCCCAAGGTTGGAATGTGTGTGGCAACTATAGTGAATAATATTGTATTGTACATTTTAAAGTTGCTAAGGGAGTAAATCTCAAAAGTTCTCATCGCACACACAAAAATATATAACTGTGTGGTGATGGATGTTAACTACTAATTGTGGTGATCACTTCACAATATATATTGAATATTTTGTACACCCAAAACTGGTATAGGTCAATTGCATCTCAATTTTTAAAAGGGGATGATAGTTAAATCATTGTGGACTTGTTTCATTAGATGAGTTTGAAAGAATAAGCTCTTGTTTTTTCGATGTCAACATCAGAAGTATGCCAAAAGATATTTAGATGTTACTGTAAAGAAAGGATAGGTTTTCTAAGTCATTTTAGGCCGAAGGCTCGGGAGCCAAAATCAGGGGTCACTGGCCTGCTGGCGCGGCCGCAGGAACGGTCCTGCCTGGGGCCCGGCAGCTCAGCCTGCACGCTGGGGACCCCGCCTGGCTCTCCAAGGCGGCATCCTCCAACCTTGAGCTCCGCTCCGCCTCTCCTGAGGGTAGGGTGGCACCCCTATGGCCTCACTTTGTAAAGAGCCGTGTGTTCATGTGCAGACGTCGTTAAGTGTTTATTCTATCCAGCCACTTACTTGCGTTATTGTCTGCCCCACCCCGGAATCGCACGCACACTAACAGCCCCGCCCACACCTCGCCCCAGCGCCTAGTGCAGCCTGCACTAAATATAGTAAAGACCCGCCCTCCAAGCGCAACATGGGTCACGTGCTCCAACGGAGGAATATCATCGAGTCGGTCCTCCAGCCTTCCAGAGAGGATTCGGAAGTGTCCTGGAGTCGGCGCGGGTTTTTCCGGCAGGGCCGTCCGCGCTTTTGTCCCGCCGGTGGCCGGGCTCCCGCGGCGTCCCCTCAGCCAGTACGTGAGTCCGCAGCCGCCCGCGCTCCCGCCCCCGGCCCTCGCCTGCCACGCCCTTCCCTTCTTGGTCTGGTCCTGGCTGCTCCTTGGGTCGCGGGCGGGCTCTGGGAAGAAACGTGCCCCCTTCCTATACACCTCAGGAGGCGCGTCCGGAGGAGTGGAGGGAAGACGGCGGGCACAGCGAGGGGTGTTGGGCGCGCCCCTGGATCAGACCAGACTCCCTAAGGGCGCCAACTCCGGCCGTCCGAGCGTCCAGGGTTGGGTTGGGGCTGCCCCGTGCCCAGGGAAAGGCCCCGCTCCTGTGTTTCCCAGCTAACTAGTCAATGCTGTCTCGGGCGGGAGGGGAACCGTGAAAATAGCGCTTTAAAATGTTCCCCTTATTGGGACCCCGTTGCAGTTAAGTTTGGGCTTGGACTTGAGAGTGAATAGGAGCGTTAGAGAGACCCCTAGGGGTGATCTGGTTTGACCTCCCGCCCCCCCCCCTTTTTCTTTAATGGAGGGTGATGTTGGGGCTCCTGGCGCTGGTGCGGACCGAGCCCGCGGGAGGCACTTCCCGGCACTTTTCCTGCGGAAGCTTACCTGCATACAGACAGGGGTGCTCCTGGCGGGGGCGACCTGGGGGAGGCGACCGGGGGCTCTTCAAGCTGAGTTGAGTAGATTGAGAGAAGGAAGGTCGAGGGGGCTCCTAGATCCGGGGACAGCGTACGGAAACACAGGCGTAGGAGATGTGCTGCTTTAGAGGTTTGGACTAGGTAGCCACCAGGCATGTTTTCTTTTTGAAAGCACGGCTTTTACTTTTTTTTTTTTTTTTAAATGTTATATAATATTTTATATGGTTCAGATTTTTAAAATATAAGAAGTCAGCGAAAAGGTTTCCTTCCGCTCAGCCATCTTCCTAGGGCCTAGCCCCTTAGATAACTACATTTGGTTTATTTGAGCGTATCCTTCCAGAGTTTATGCAAATACTGACAGATAAGCATAGAGTTAGTTCCCCTTTTTTTTCCACACAGGTGGTAGGTCACTCTTCAGGGTTCTGCCTTTTGCTTCTTTCATTTTATCTTAGAGATCATCAGAACACAAAGAGCTTTTTGATTGTTTTTTGTTTTTACAGCGCTCTGGTATTGAATTAGCCATTGTTTGGATGTTTTGGATGTCCTATAATTTTTTAGACCTAGTCAGGGACATTGGGGTTTCTACTTTTTGTTACTTCAAATAGTGTTGCACACAGTGGCGTACTAGAGCATATCTGAGCAAAGGTTTTTAAAGAAGGCATTAAAATAATTTTTGTTTTTACATCAGTTCAGCCAGTTATTGGTAGATTGTTAAATAGGCCAGATTATTATAATAACTCATGTAGAGAGTTATTTGTTCAAAGAACAAATAAAACCAAGTAGCTTTTCTTGGTTTAGTCCTACAGTAGCCTAATAAACTAATTCAGTTAGTGACTCTCTTCAAGCCAGTCTCCACCTCTTTAGCTTCAGAAAATCTTTCAGCATCTCTTTCAGAATCTCCTTTGCTTAACTTATTCCCAAGGATGACTAGAAATTTCTTCTCCACTACCAGGTATGACAGTGTTCTATTACATTTTTTACTTTGAGAAAAAAAATCACCTTTAATCCTTTTTTCTACTTTTAAGCAATAGAACTGATTCATTTAACCAGTTACTCTCCTGATACTCATAAACTATAAATTCAGTAACTAAAGCAGAAACCATATTCTCCCTCTTCCCATCTGCATATCATTTCTCACTTGGTTCCATTTTTCATTTATCACATTATCTCTAGATACTCTTCTGAGTTGATAAGCATTTTGTGTTCACAATTCTTGTTTTTCTTTTCTCTCTGAAGAAAGAGAAGATGATTTGGTTATCTCCAAGTCAAATACAATATCTAAGTATTTAAGATACAGAATCCAGATGTAACTTTGATGATAGAGTGACTTGTAGAATATGGTTGGTACTCTGGAAATTCGGAGGAGCTGCTGGTGTGTTGTACCTGTTGCTTGCTGCAAGAAGTTGTTAAAAGGCAGGAATTTTCTGTCAGAGGGAGCCATAATTGCTCTCTGATTGTTGTCTTGGCTCTTGAAAAATATCTCCTGACACTGGGGCAACAATTATGGGCAGGTTTATACTATCTACACAAGCTTTTCTAGGCATTGGTGTCAGAACATGAACAACAAGCACAGAGGTACCCAGAGGTTGAGAGTCATGTAATTTGGAAGGGGTGGATGGCTTTTTGTGGCTGAGACTTTTGACCAGTACATTCAGGGTACTAGGTCACGTTATTGATAGAAATATGCCAAATCAGTTTCCATCCGGCCATTAGAAATTTTAAGTTTCCAATCCAGCCATTAGAACTTTTAAGGAATTAAAACTTTTGGCCCTCTCTGTGCAGAAGTTGTGCTTTTGGAGCGATTCCTCTTGTGTCATGATGGACACATGACTCGGCACCACATCAGTCATTTTGTTGGATTCTAATAACCTCCTCTCAGACTCCAGGACTCAGTTCTCCCTCCCCTCAGTTCTCCTACTGCAACTAGTATGAGTGATCTTTTTTTCCTTTAATTCTTTATTATGAAAAAATTTAAACATATAGGAAAATACAATTAACTCCATACACTCATAACTCATATTCAACAGTTATCGAGATTCTGCTACGTTTATTTCACCTTTCTCTTTTTATTTGTGATTTCGTGAACTATTTTAAAGGAAATTCTAGACAAAAGTACCAAGGCACACAAATCAGCACTAGGGTAAAATGCTGCTATTGCTTGAATGTTTGTGTCCCACCCAAATTCCTATGTTGAAATCCTATACGTCTTGGTGCTTTTCTGCCTATGTTTCGACTGACCTTTTCTTAAACTCAATATTAATTAATATGAGTCTCATTGTAAACTATCTATTTTAAATGAAAATGTCCATTTGTATTGATGTTTTGATTTCAGTCATTAGGAAGATTGAGTGAAATCCATTGGGTGATGGGACGCTGTGCCCCCACCCAAACAGAAGACTGCTGGCATCTACCTAAGTCGGAGGGGTAAGCAATGAAGTATTTGTGATCATGCAGATCAGAATAGTCAGCAGCCAATCAAATGGGAGATCTCAGAGGACATGAGGAAACTAAGAATTAGCTTGACAAGGTATCAAGGGAAAGGGTCCGCCAGAGCCTAGGATGAGTAATCGCAGTGGCAGTAAGGGAATAATTAACATGGCCCATTTGATGTCAGCAAGTCACTTCAGGTGGTTGGATGCAGAAGGCTTCAAGTGCACACCAGGTAGCCTGGGAAGATTTGGCATTGAGGAATGACCAGGTGTGTGTTTTCCAAAACTCTTGCCACCTATCTGAGGAAGAATTGGACAGGAGTAAGAATGAAGGTAGGGAGACTGACAGAAGTTCAGAAGAGAATTTAGGCAGGCTTAAACTAAGGCCTTGGCGATGGGGTTGGAGTTGGAAGTGGGAACTCTAGAACTGTTTAGGCAGTAGAATCAGCTATGTCTTAAGCTCTTTTAGATGTGGAGGGGTGAGGGAAAGAAAAGATCCTACTTCAGATTTAGTCCAAGGAGAGAACAGCAGTGGATATGAGGATTTGTAGTTGATCTAATCCCTCAGTGAGGCTCCATGAGACAGCTTGTAGGGGTGATGGGAGCCATGTGTGTAGGTGGAGCTGCCCAGGGGCCATATGTAGAGTCAGAAGAGGAAAGGTTCCAGATAGAATGGGCCCAAGAACATCTACGGGGCAATGGACTGGGGCATCAGTATACCGTGAGTAGAAGAAATCAGATTGAGTAGATGAGGCATGAAGGGACATGGGAATGTGAGGACCACTTTTTTAAGACACAAATGAACAGGAGGCAGGATATGAAAGGAGGACCTGGAAGGAAAGATATAGTTGAAGGAATTTTAAGTCTACTTTTTGACATTTTTTTAAACTTTTTATGTGGAAATAAATTTAATTATAAGAATAAGAATTTCAAGAATAAGAATAGTAAATAATTTCAAGAATAAGAATAATAAAAAGATACTCAACTCATATTCACCTGTAGTTAACATTTTTCATTTCTCTCTCTCTCTCTCTCTTGCTCTTTCATACATGTAATTATTTTTCTAAACCATTTGAAGGTAACTCACATACATCATGGCCTTTTACCCCTAAGTACTTCAGTGTATATTTAGTAAGGATAAGCATATTTTACCTAACTTACTGTCCATATTCCAATTTTGTCAATCAACACAATTTTTTATAACAGTTTTTCCCTGCAGTACAGGTCCGCTCCGTTATGTATTGAGTGGCCAAGTCTCTTTAGCCTTCTTTAATCTGGAACATTTCTATAGCCTTTCTTTGTTTTTTATGAAAATGATATTTTTGAAGAATACAAATACCTTTTATTGGAATGTTCTTCATTTTTGGATTTACGTGATGTTTCCTTGTGAGTCAATTCAGGTTGTGCATTCTTATAGATGTCCTCAGAGTGTCACTTTTGGAAACACATGATGTCCATCTGCCTCCCCTAGTGATATTAAATTACAACACTCAGCCAAAGCATCGTCTCATTTCTCCACTGTGTAATTACTATTTTCCCCTTGCAGTCTGGGGACATATTTTAAGACCATGCAGATATACTGCTCCTTGTCAAAGTGTCTCCCTAGATTTAGAATCCATTGCTAATTCTCCCAATTCATTCTTTATTCCAGGAGTTGTAGAACACTAATTTTATTTTTTCCAACTCTACTACTCTCTCCATGTTTGCCAACCAGCCCTGGCATTCTACTGTAAGCAAAAGGCCTCCCTTTCTCCCCCATTTGTATCTGTATGGACTTGTGAAATCCTATTTCCAATGATTTATAATTCATTACTGTACTTAATTATTACAGATCCTGAGTTGGGCGTTCTAGCTGGCTCTTGTGCTCTTGTATGTTGGCGTGCCCCATCTTCTTACCTACTAGTGTAACAGGATGCCCAGGCTGATCCTGTCCGTGTCTTGCCCCCAGTCTGGAAACCACCAGTTTCCCGTTGGTACGCGGTAGTAGTACAGACTGAGAACGGTGCTGGGTGGGCTCATTGCCACTCAGGTGTTCTTGCTTCTTAGCTTTTCAGTAGACAGAGCTAGAGAATATTTATACATATATATACGAATATACATACATCTGAATGTGCACATGTATGTACATATGTGTGCATGTGTATATATACATTGATTTCATTTTTATTCTTTGCAGAACGTTCAATAAGTTAAAACTATACAAAAAGCTGTACTCATAGTGTCTCTCTCCCCTGTCCCTCCTACCCCACCCCTTACAGGTAACAGGGTTCACTGTTTTGTGGTTTCTCTCATTACTGTAAACATAAGCAGATATATGTTTCTTGTCTTAATTTTCTTCTTTCTTACACAAAATGTAGCATATATACTCTCTTTTACTTTACAATATGTTCTGGAAACTGCTCCCCATCAGTCAGTTTATAAAGATGTTCCTCATTCTCCTTTAGTACTGATTGTGTATGTGTGCTGTAGTTTAATAACCACCCATCTGCGCTTGGACTTGTAGGCAGAGAACATGTAGTTTTCCAGATTTTGTAGTTGCAAATAATGCTACATGGATAATTTTGTACATACATACTTTTGTATTGTTGGAAGTGTATCTTCCATATAAATTCCTAGATAGGATTTCTGGATTGAAGTATAAATGCATACATACTTGTATTCGATATTGGCAAATACCCCTCAAGAGAGGTTATGCAAGTTTGCATTCTCGGCAGTGTATGAGAGTGCCTGTTTTCCCCACAGCCTCTTCAACAGAGTAGATTGTCAAGCATTTGAATAGTTGCCAATCTGATAGGCTAGAATCGGTATCTTAGTCTAGTTCTTATTTGTATTTCTCTTATGAATGAGATTGAAAACAAGTTTAAGGACCATCATTAGTATTAATATCATTTTAATATTTCTATGAATTGTCTGTTCATGTCTTTTGCCCATTTTTCTGTAGGATTTTCAGTCTTTTTTTTCTTCCATTTTGAAAATTGTATGGTAAGGATGTTAGCCTTTATATAGGATGCATGTTGTAAATATTTTCTTCTGCTTTGTCATATCTTTCTTGATTTTGCTTATGGTATTTTTGACATGCAATTTATTTTATTTTCGTGTAGTCAAAAATATCAATCTTTTACTGCATCTGGATCCTAGTTAGAACAATTTCTCTATACTCAGGTTATAGAGGCATTCATCCATATTTTGTTCTAGTATTTGTATAGTGTTGCTTTTTTATGTTAGAACTCTGCAGTTTATTCCTTTGTGTGATGTAAAGAATGGTTCTAATTTTATCTTTTTTCAAACAGCTTTATAGTTCTAACATCATTAAAAAGACCATCTTTGCCCCAATAATTTGACACACCATCTTTATCATATGTTTAATTTCTGTGTGTAATTAGGACTATTTCTGGACTTTCCATTCTATTCCATTTGTACACTAGTACTAAACTGGTACGGTTATAGGGCCTTTGTGATACACTTTAATATCTAGTATGGCTAGTCTCCCCTCATAGCTCTTCCTTGTCTGTTATTTCTCCAGCGTTTTTTGTGTGTTTATTTTAGGAGATTCGATTTCATATCTATAGGAACTTGAACATCTTTCTCTCCTGAGGGCAGAGGTTGAGGTGGAGGGTCCAAGGCCAAAGGGAATGGATGGAGCAGGGTCCCTGATGTGTGTGGAAGCAGGATTCAAAGCACAGATAAAAGGTATGTTGTTGCCAATGGTTTTGGAATTCCACTACTCACCCAGTAGCCCTCACACGTTAAGTGACATGGACTGCTCTGCCCTACGTATTAAAGAAAGGGAGCAAGGAACTAGGCCGTGCTGTCATTCCTCAGTGACCTCTGAAGATCTCTTACCTAATATCACTTAATAGTCATTTTGTGAAGCTTTCTCCACTGAACCCCCTTTTGGTTTAATGTGTAGTGAGTGGTGCTTTGTTTTATTGTCTTAGTGATATTCTGAATTCCTAGCTTCTCTTTTTCTGTAAATTTTATTTCGGTCCATCATTCTAGTCCTATAAGCATAAGTTGGATCGTGAATGTAGTTCTTTATACATGTCTACCCCAGAATATGTATTTTACTTTCCTTGTACTGCTCCTGCTTTCTCCTCACGTTTACGTATAGGATTTCTAAGTAGGACTGACAGAATTCCAAAGTACTGACCCAAGAGATTCTGATACCCAGGGTAAGAGGGGAGATTCAAATTTTAACTAAGTCTAATTACAAATATCTAATTGTCTAAAGTTGGGTGATAAGGGACTTATAACTGTTTCTTTTCTTCTCAGGAGTCAGTCTGTCAGTAGGTAGATGCTGATGGAGTGCCAGCTGTGTGTAGAGTGTCTTCAGGGGGAGAAAGCGTCCTCTTAAACTCCTCTGGAAGGGAGTTTACCTTTCCTGAGTCCTGTACTTTATCCTCGGGTTCCAACCCTGATCCAATAACCTGACTTCAAATAAATAACAAAATAAATAATAATAGCATATAGCACTCAACAAGAGATATGCATTGTTTTCAACATTTTACATATGTTCTCTAACATTCACACCAACTCTGTTGTCTTCAGATGAGGAAACTGTGGCACAAAGAGATTAAATACCTTTGTCAAGGTCACACAGCTAGGTATTTGAGCCTAGGCAGAATTATTTTGTGTGTGTGTGTGTTTAACAGTTTGTGCTTTTGCTTCTGATATTTGATATTCTCTGACTGCAGTTAGCCTGTTCATCAAGTAGGAGTGAAAGCCTCTTTGTCTAGCAGGCCGGAGTGTTCCTCCATATACTCCCATGTTTACCCACTTTCCAGGATCAGTGTCTTCCTTGGAGGGGAGATCCAGAAGGCCATACCAGCAGGCTTGTTTCTGTTTCATCTCTGACATAACTATCTTCATGATTTTATAAGCACCTCCCCAATACTTCCACCCAGGTACTGATTTCTCCACTTCTTTAGTTTTGCTTGTCTTGTCTTCTTTTGTCTTATTAATCTTTTTGTCTCCTCTTTTTCAGAGATTTCTTCTCTCCTCTGTTTGTTTTTCCATGACTTGGTGACCTTTTTCAAAAACTGACCAACATTTCCCTTGGTTCTGTCCAATATTTCAGCCCATTCCAACTTGCCCTCATGCTGAGCTGTATGCGAGAATAGAAAAGCTCTTTGTTTCATTGAAAATCCAGAGCTCTAGCATTTTAACATTAGTTCCATAGGGGCAGAAATTTTGGCATGTCCCAGTGGTTAAAAATGGTACGCAGTATGCAGTCAGTTATACACTTGTTGAATGAATGGGTGAATTTGGAGTAATTCTTCTAGATTCTTCTAAACAAAATGAACAAGTATCATTTTCATTTTCTTGGTTTAGTGTCACATTTTAAGACGAGGGGCACTGAGGACGAATCACCTGGAAAGTGCGAAAATGTTGGAAATGCAGAATCTCTGTGGCTAAGAGTAGAAGGTCATCACAAGGATCACATGCAAGAATCTAAGGTTGCTGAAACTCATGATTGGGACAGTAAGGTAGAAAATCGGTTGGAAAAGCCCGAGGGAAAAAAGATGAAGGAAGTTAAAAGTGGCATCAGGGAAAAGGTTGGAAAAGCCAAGAACACAGCAAATATAAAGACAGAACAGGAAGATGAGGCATCTGAGAAAAGTTTGCATCTGAGCTCAAAACATGTTACACACCAGACCATTCTTGTAGAACGGAAAAGCATTGAACAAGGCAAGTGTGAGGAGAACATTAATGGAAATTCTCACCCTCATCTGCAGCAGAAAAGCAATGCTGTTAAGAAATCCCATAAATGTGATGAGTGTGGGAAATCTTTCAAATATAATTCCCGCCTTGTTCAACATAAAATTATGCACACTGGGGAAAAACGCTATGAGTGCGATGACTGTGGAGGGACTTTCCGGAGTAGCTCGAGCCTTCGAGTCCACAAGCGGATCCATACTGGGGAGAAGCCGTACAAGTGTGAGGAATGTGGGAAAGCCTACATGTCCTACTCCAGCCTTATAAACCACAAAAGCACCCATTCTGGGGAAAAGAACTGTAAGTGTGATGAATGTGGAAAATCTTTCAATTATAGCTCTGTTTTGGACCAGCATAAGCGAATCCACACTGGGGAGAAGCCTTATGAATGTGGCGAATGTGGAAAGGCCTTCAGGAACAGCTCTGGTCTCAGAGTCCACAAAAGGATCCACACAGGGGAGAAGCCCTACGAATGCGACATCTGTGGGAAAACCTTCAGTAATAGCTCTGGCCTTAGGGTCCACAAAAGGATCCACACAGGTGAAAAACCCTATGAATGCGATGAGTGTGGGAAGGCCTTCATTACTTGCAGAACACTTTTAAACCATAAAAGCATCCACTTTGGAGATAAACCTTACAAATGTGATGAGTGTGAAAAATCATTTAATTATAGCTCTCTCCTCATTCAGCATAAAGTTATCCACACTGGAGAGAAGCCTTACGAATGTGATGAATGTGGGAAGGCCTTCCGGAATAGCTCAGGCCTAATTGTGCATAAAAGAATCCACACAGGAGAGAAACCTTACAAGTGTGATGTCTGTGGCAAAGCATTCAGCTATAGCTCAGGCCTCGCAGTCCATAAAAGCATTCACCCTGGGAAGAAAGCTCATGAATGTAAGGACTGTGGGAAATCCTTTAGCTATAACTCACTTCTCCTTCAGCATAAAACCATTCACACTGGAGAGAGACCTTATGTGTGTGATGTGTGTGGGAAAACCTTCAGAAACAATTCAGGCCTCAAAGTTCACAGGAGGCTCCACACTGGGGAAAAACCATATAAGTGTGATGTGTGTGGGAAAGCGTATATCTCACGCTCTAGCCTTAAAAACCACAAAGGAATCCATCTTGGGGAGAAGCCCTATAAATGTAGCTATTGCGAGAAATCCTTCAATTACAGCTCTGCCCTTGAGCAACATAAAAGGATCCATACGAGGGAGAAACCTTTTGGATGTGATGAGTGTGGAAAAGCCTTCAGAAATAATTCAGGCCTTAAAGTACATAAACGAATCCACACTGGGGAGAGACCTTACAAATGTGAAGAATGTGGGAAAGCCTACATCTCACTCTCAAGCCTTATAAATCATAGAAGTGTACACCCTGGGGAAAAGCCTTATAAGTGTGACGAGTGTGAAAAAGCTTTCATCACATACCGAACCCTTATAAACCACAAAAAAATTCATCTTGGGGAGAAGCCCTACAAATGCGATGTGTGTGATAAATCTTTTAATTACACTTCACTTCTTTCTCAACACAAAAGAGTCCACACTAGAGAGAAGCCCTATGAATGTGACAGGTGTGAGAAGGTCTTCAGAAACAACTCAAGCCTTAAAGTGCATAAAAGAATCCATACTGGGGAGAAACCCTATGAATGCGACGTGTGTGGAAAAGCCTATATCTCGCACTCAAGCCTTATTAACCATAAAAGTACTCACCCTGGCAAGACACCCTATACATGTGATGAATGTGGAAAAGCTTTTTTCTCAAGCAGAACTCTTATAAGTCATAAAAGAGTCCATCTTGGGGAGAAACCTTTCAAATGTGTCGAGTGTGGGAAGTCTTTCAGTTACAGCTCACTCCTTTCTCAACATAAGAGGATCCACACTGGGGAGAAACCCTATGTATGCGATAGGTGTGGGAAGGCCTTCAGAAACAGCTCGGGCCTCACAGTTCATAAAAGGATCCACACAGGTGAGAAACCCTATGAATGTGATGAGTGTGGGAAGGCATACATCTCGCACTCAAGTCTTATCAACCATAAAAGCGTCCACCGTGGGCAGCAGCCCTATAATTGTGAATGTGGGAAATCCTTCAATTACAGATCGGTTCTTGACCAACACAAAAGGATTCACACTGGAAAGAAGCCATACCGATGTAATGAGTGTGGGAAGGCTTTTAATATCAGATCAAATCTCACCAAGCATAAAAGAATCCATACTGGAGAAGGATCTTTAAATGTGACAATGATGGGAAGTCATAGGGGCCCACCACAAAAGAGAACTCAAGAGTGTGGGAATGTTCTGGATGGGACCAGGATGAGCTTGTCTCTGTAAGAGGCAGAGCTTACCAAGTCTCAGAGAACTCAAGTGGAAGAAAAAACTTATGAATGTAAGAATATCAGAGGTCCTTGTTCATGGCTTATAATTTACATAGTACAAATGAAACCATGAGTCATCTTTTCTATGTGATCTTCAATCATACCCAGCAAGGAAGCCTCCAGTGTCAAGGTAGTTGAGCCCTTATGGAATGTAAAATGGTTTATACTAGGGATAAAACCTATCAGAGTGATGGAATGTTAAAACCTTCAAATAAGCAGACATTTCTGGACATGAAAGAAAACAGATGAGGAAAAGATTTCAATTCGAAGTCATAGTGTCACCATTAGAAAGTTCATATTTGGGTAAATTCTGTCAGTCAAAATGTGAAACATTCAGGTATAGTTTTGGATCCCAGTTATACATTGGTCAGTGGAAAAATCCCAAGAAGGGTCTCCAACAGGCAAATTCAGGGAGAGATAGGCTTCAGGGAATATAAATTTATTTAACAGTGATCATGAAGTATAAACTTCATATAATTGATTTGAGGGGAGTGATGACAAAGTGAAACAATTTGAATTTTGTAGGAAAAATAACTACCAAATCTAAAATGAGACAGGAGAGTCGCTCAAAAAAAAAACACAAAAATGGTGGTACAAATAAGATTTGAACTTAATTTCCGGCTCCCTGCGTAGAGCGTTTTGCATTTAGAAATTATTTCTTTAATGATTGTTCTTGGCTAACTCCCCCTACCAACCAAAAAAAAAAAAAAAAAAAAAGCAAGTTAATTGGACTATACTGTTGTAATTTTGCGTTATACTAGTTGAGTGAGTGAAACTTGAAAAATTTTGAGTGAACTCCCTCAATGAATGATGAATATGTGATAAATGAAAACCTCACACATTACACTACACATAAAGTGTTCTTCCGTGGAGAGAAATTCAGCACATTAACTAATTAATGGAACATGTCTTCATGAATTTGCACCTTACACCAAAAGAATTGATTCAGGGATTCCTAGGAATAGGAGGGCTGAGAAGGAGGGCATTTTATTGCAGGAGCTAAAAAAACTAGCTACCAATAATCAACAGGAGGAAATTCATGTTTCTTAGTAATCCTGTTAAATGGTTGATTGTTTTGGTCTGTGTTATTGTAGAGTTCATGCACTACATGTGTGTATTGTCTGTTGTAAAATGTTATGAATACTTTGTCCAGAGCTCACTCACTTTAGGCCATGAAGAGAGCCAGGTAGTTGTGATGAGGTAGGTGGAACTCCAATAAAGAAATTCCTCCAAAGTGAACAGGCCGTGCCTGAGTAGATGGAGCAGCATGTGAGAAAGCCATTCATGTCACATCTTTGTGGGGTAAGTTATGCCAGATACAAACAAAGGAGGGCAGCAGGGGCTAATCCCTCAGGGCCAGCAGCTCAGGTGTCACTAGAAGTTAGATGGTGCATCCACCAGGAGAAGCACAGAATGGATTGAGCATCACATGCTGGGGCTCGATCCTAACTCCAGGGAGTGGGCAGGCTCTGTGAGTGATCATCACCACACAGAAACAGTTCTGTTGGGAACAGATAGAATTTAACAAAATATGCACTTTGTATAATGCTCTTAACTGTGTAACTCAGAGGGTGAAAGGAGAGGCTTCCAAGACAAGTCCAAACATGCTCTGGGTGGGCCCCATCTCTGGAGGCTGAATTCTAACTCAGGTCTCTGCGGCTCCAGAATTCACTTTTTACAAGAGAACAATCTAGGCAGGTAGTGTCCTTGCTCTCTAGGATTCTGTGTCTCTAGCCACAAAGTTTCCATACCTCTCTAGGACTATAATTTTTTCATTTTGTCTCCAAGCCCTCAGCAGTAAGTTTTGATGGAGGGGGAAGGGATGGGACTAGGAAAGGGAGAGGAAAAGCATTTCTGCCACACAACTCCACTTTGGAATGTTACTGCCGCACTTGCTCCTTGCCCTCTACAAGCAGCACTGGCAAATATGATCCTTTCCATTTAATTAACTTAATTCAGCTAATACTTGCTGAGGATCCGCTGGGCACAGTCCACTGTCCCAAGCGCTAGGCACAGGAATAAATAAAGGACAAAGGAAAGTCCACAAGCAGAGCCACCCTAATGGATGCTGAATGACACAGCATTCAGAGGAAAGTGCCCACCACTAGCTGGGAAGAGGCAGCAGTGACATCTGGTGAAACAATTCAGTTTTTTTTTTTTTAAGAGGGAGGCATGAGAAATGAGTTCGCCTGATCAAAGGCAGCATCAGAAAAGCTCACACGTCCTCTAGAGTGGCCAGTCCCTGACAGGGCTGGTACCCGTTTGGCAGAAAGGAGGAAAGCCATGGAATTATCAATTGCTTGGAGTCACTGGTTATCTACTGGTCTTTTGTTTATTAAAGATCAGCACTATTTTAGATGATTGGGCTACTTGAGGTTTCTGTGTGGCCAGGGCTTGAGGCCTTCACCCTTCCTCGTGCACACACACACCCCTACCCCTGCTTGAGCTCCACCTGTACCTAATGCACTACCTACCTTCAGGAGAGACACACATTTAATAAGGAAGAAGATGGCCATCGCTCAGTTGGGGCTATGGAGTGCCCCGGCCTGCTGAGCGCTGGGACATGCTCCCACTGAGGCCTCTGACCCACAGGCAACAGGCCTCTTGGTCTCAGCCTACATAGGGACAGATACATTCAGCGTGGGCTAAATTCCAGGCGAGGAGGGGACTTGAGTCTGCAGCCATTCCAGGTGGACTTTATGGTGCAGATCCAGTGAGGTGCCACTGCACCTGTGCAGGCCACTTCAGGACTTGAGCTGGTTTAGGGACCACCACCCCCTACCTCTTTTCAGAGAAAATGCTTGATATTCAGGAAGAAAAAAATGCGAACATGTAAAAGCAGTGTCTAATTCATAGGGCTAAAGATAGGTAAAACTGAAATGTTGGGCAATGGGTAAATCTTCCAAAAGCTGGAAGATCTGCATAAAAGTGGTCTGCAGTGCTTGTATTTGGGAGGAGGGTAAAGATGTGTTAAAGTCTAGATTTTGTTGACTATTTTGATAAAATGTTATGAGCAAGCACTAGAAGGATAGAAATATATAAAAACCTGGACCGGAAAACCTCAGTCTAGAAAAAAGAAAGGCGATATTGAAAAGGTGGATCATACTTTCTGGTAAAGGCAGGCTGGGTTGTGTGGGTCAATTTCCCACCAAAAACAATGTAAAAATGCCTGCATTCTTAAAAATGTAGATAGTATTCCCTCCTCTTCAAGAGAGCAGTGAGAGTGAAAAGAGAGTGCAATTTAAACAGGCATAGCAGTTTAAAAATGGGATCCTGTCATCAGAGGGGAACACCAAAGCAGTTTATGCCCCAGACTGTTTGCTGGTGTTACACAGTTGGGCACCAATTCAGCCACAGGAAGTGAAAGAGAAGGTTATGGCCAGGCCCTTCTGAGAATGAATCTTATAGACCTTTCCAAAGTTAAGCTAGGTTCCTGACCTGCTCCTTGGGGTAAGAAAAACCAGGTCTGAACCCATCCCCCAGCCCCAGGGGACTGTGGAGACAGTGGCCTTATTAGTAAGCAGAGTAGGTGGGGTTGGGGGTGGGGGACATCCTTGACACCCTGTGGTTACTGGCCAACCCTTACAACCCAGAGAAAACCTGAGACCTGGCAGAAGCAACACAAAACTGCTTTGGAAGATGACTTCTTCAATCCAGACCTCAAGTGAATCTTACAGATGATTTTCGAGGGGCAACTAATGATCAAAGATAATTAGGCTCATAAGGGAAAAAGGCAACATGACAAAACCAGAAGGAAAAAAGAGACTCACATAGACTTCACATATTGAATTATTGGATACATTTGTGGGAAATAATTGTCTTTAAAATAGTTAAAGATGTATTTGGCAACAGATTGTGACACGGGAAAAAAGAGTTGGTGAAAAATATGAAAGATGGGTGAAGAAATCAAGAATGCAGCTTGGATATGGAAAAATATGGGATAACACAGAGAAGGGAAGGTTTCATTGGAAGTTTAATACATATTTAATCTTAGTCTCAGCAGGCAAGGACAGAACAAAAAGGACAAAGAGAATGGGATTGAGAATTATAAGCCTATAGATACAAAAGCCTAAAGCATACAAAGATATATTTATAAAAAACATCTACACATACCACAGTGTAAAAAGAAAAAAAAAATGACAGCTAAAGGCAAAAAAATTTCCCTTTAAGGGAACAATAGACTTCTCAATAGCAACAATGGAAGCCAAAACAATGGAATGAAAACATCTGTATAAAGAGAAGATAACTGTCAACCTAGAATTTTATACCCAGTGAAAAGATCTTTAAGAAAAGGGACAAAACAAGCAGATTTTAAGACAAAAATTTGTTTTCATTATCCACTACTGACCCCCACTAAAGGAAGTTCTAACAAATGCATTTTAATACAGAAGGAAAGTGTTTCCAGATGGTGTTTTGAGTTACAAAAAAAAATAAAGAGCCAAGAAAGTAAATACATAGGCAAATGTCAATGAACATTATGTAAAACAATAAAATCAAGTTAAAACTTAAAATTTTTATCAGACAGCAATAACATTAAGTCAAGAGTAAAAAAGATTGAAGTATTATATATAAGGATAAAGGTTTTGGTTAATATGCATATTGTAAAATCTAGGAGAATCATAAAATAGGGTGTGTAATTTCAATACTAGTAGAGAAAAAAAGAATCTTTAAAAATAAAAGGACAAGTAAAAGAGAAGGATGGGACAGAGCTAAAAAATAAAAAGATGGTTGATCTTAAGCCAAAAGTATTAGTATTTACATTCTATTTAATTTCATTAAATGACAAAGATTATCAGACAATATCTTAGTCTGTTCAGGCCACTATAACAAAATGCCACTGGGTGGCTTATAAACAACAAAAATGTGTTCTGGAGGCTGGAACCCCACGGTCAGAGTGTTTGGAGATCACTCTGTCTTCTGGGTCTTGGATTGTTAATTATATCCTCACATGGTGGAAAGGGCTGAGAAATTTTGTGGGGTCTCTTATAAGACCACTATTCCCATTCGTGAGGGTGCCACTCTCGTGACCTAATCACTTCCCAAAGGTCTCACCCCGTAACACCATCACACTGGGCATTAGGATTCCAACATGCAACTTGCGGGGGGAGGCGGGGGACGGGACACAAATATTCTGACCATGACAGGACAAAAGTGAAAAACCCCACTACAGCTGCATCCAAGAGACTCACCTTAAAAAAAAAAAAAAAGCACAAAGTGAATAGTAATCAGCAGAGAATTGGTGTGTGTAGCTCTACTAATACTAGATGAAATAGAGACTTTAAGGCACAAACCACTCCTAGAGATAAAGGGTATCATTATATTAAGACAAAAAGTTCAGAGAAGAGAAGACAGTGGGAAGATATAACAGTTTTAAGTTAGTATTTACCTACTAACATAGTTTAAGAGTTGGCAAATAATATGCAAACTCAAAGGACATATATAAAATCCGTGATCATGATGGGAGATTTTTGACACCTCTCTCTCAGAATTAATAGGACAAGCAGTATAAAAATTAGTAAACATACAGATTGAAACAATATGATTAATAAGCAATCTAACAGATATGTGTATTGGACAC